GGGGTTGGGGGGGGGGGGGGGGTGATGCTGTGTGAGGAACTCTCCCTCTGATTCAAGATGTCTGTTAACATTGCCGATGGGCAGGATGTTCCTCTGAGGACAGATCCTGTCAGCAACTTGTTTGGGAGTTTGCAGTGAGAACTGCCCCCCACCCCCCGGTCCCTCTCTTCGCTCCCTCCCTTCGCCCCCCCCCCGTCCCTCTCTTCGCTGCCCCCCCCCCCCCAACTTCTCTTTTTCCTCCGTGACTTCCTCAGACCCTGTAACCTTCTGCAAACTCTGCTCTCCCCCTCACATCCCAGTCTCGGGCACATCCCTCGGAACCTTCTCTCCGGCCATAGCGACTGTGCCCGGGCCCCTTGAGACCCCCCGGTTCCCTTTCATGAGTCCCTCTGCTTCTCGTTACTCCCGTAAACAGACTCCCTCTGACCAAGCATCTCAGTCGCCCCCCCCACCCTGACATGGCTGGGCATGTTCCACAACAACAAAATGTTTTCTGGTTGGGTTGTGGCGGGGAGGGGGTGGTATCATCCCATTCGGGTGTGTTTCTGGGAACTGTCCACCTCCACTCTGTCCCAGCTGGGACCCTCATTCCCGGGAAAGAGGTGACGGAGAGGAAACTGGATGGAGATATTCTGGGATCACTGCTCTTCCAATCGTAGAATGGCTACGTAAGGCCGAAAGCCTTTTGGCCCATTGTGCCCATGCTGGCCCCTTGTGAGGGCAACTCGGCTGGGCCCATTACCCCCTCCTGCCTTTTCCGTGCAATTTCACCCCCCCCCCCCGCCCCGAGTGGCTCATTGTCTGCCAAGGGCAGGATCCGAATTATCTCCTTCGCACAGCCTTATCCAGATCCCAGCCACTGGCCGCATTTCTCCCTCTTTCTCCCTGAACTCTGTGCCCGCTGGTTCTCGAGCAGTTTCTCCTAATCCACTCTGTCCAGACTCCCACCTCGATCACATGGCCTCTAACCTTAATCTCCACCACCAATGTCCTCCTGCGTTGTAACTGTCCTATGATTCTTCAGCAATTGATAGTGCAGCTCCGTGTTGAGCCTGGAGAACAGGGAAGATCCAGGGCCCTCCTGGCTCCCGGGTAGTGAGGTGTTGTTATTGACTGAAGCTTCGGTGAGCCTAGACGAAGGTGGAGCTGTCGCACCCAGGCTGGGTGTAACCTTCAAGCTGAGCTTCCAGTAGCTGCTTAATGAGCACTGCCTTCTCCTGCTCCAGCTGGGTGATCCATTGGCTTTTCTTCGACACTTCCTGTGGGTCAGAAACCCAAAGCAGTAAAGACTGTGTCTTGTTATGTTGTGGACTGAAATGGGAAAAAACCCTGTCTGTACATTTCCTCACATTTCAGGAGGCAGGTCAGTGCACCCTCATGGCAAGCATTGTTTCTATGCAGTTAGGAAGCTGCTGCAGACTTAACTGGTGACAAGGGGTTCTGCAAACAAAGTTCATTGGTCTATGGACTAGTAACCAACTGTGGATGACCAAGCCCTTTTGCTTGCCAACAACCATGTAATTGGCTGACAGATAACTGAACAGCTTGGCGGGTGCTGGGAACAGAGCAGGAATTGGATCACCACCAGCTCTGGAACTGTCTCTCTCTGTTTTCTGCAATTAAAATTCATTTTAAAACTTCAGCAGTTGTTATAAACTGTGACTTTTCATTGGTAAGTTAGGGACGTCTTATCAGTGAGCCAGCCACCCTGTGCCTCCTACAAACTAGTGGAAGCATACTGAAAAGAAAAGCTAAGAAAAAAAAACTTCTGATCAGCAGGAACCATCTCATCAGATCATAGGAAAAAATTTTACTGTCTTTTTCCCCATCCCTGTCTGTGTCTGTATGTGTGTAAGGAGGAATTTATAAGGGAAAAAAGGACTACATTTATAGTATTCCAATTGTTTCTTTTTTCATTCATCGGATGATAGTGTTGCTGGCCAGGCAGCATCTATTGTCTGTCCCTAATTGCCCAGAGGGCAGACATGTAGTCCAGACCAGGTAAAGATGATAGTTTCCTTTCCTAAAGGACATTAGTGAACCAGATGGGTTTTTGCAACAATTGTCAATGGATTCATGGTCATCATTAGACTCTTAATTCCATATATTTTATTGAATCCAAATTCCACCATCTGTTGTGGTGGGATTTGAACCTGGGTCCTCAGAACATTATCTTGGTCGCTGGATTACAGTCCAATGATAATACCACTAGGTCATTACCTCCCCATTGTGTTTAACTAATTACTTAAGTCTAGAGTCTAATTACTTGTAATAAAGTTGTTTTTGTTCAGTAGAAATACCTGGTCTGTTTCCTATCAGCCTGCATCATGGAGAAGTGATGGCCTAGTGGTATTATCACTAGACAATTAATCCAGAGACTCAATAATGTCTGAGGGAGCTGGGTTCAAATCCTGCTATGGCAAATGTTGGAAGTGGAATTCAGAGTCTAATGATGACTACGAATACATTGTCAATTGTTGAAAAAACCCCATCTGGTTCACTAATGCCCCTTAGGGAAGGAAACTGCTGTCCTTATCTAGTCTGGCCTACATGTGACTCCAGACCCATAGGGATGGGCAATAAATGCCGCCTGGCCAGTGACACCCACATCCCCTCATATAATGAAAAAATTTACAGCATTTGGGGAAACTTATTTTAGAATCTTTTAATTTTTTTTATGCTCAGTCCAGGAATGGAGGTGTGTGATTTCCAGCAGAATATCCCAGAGAGGAATGACATCACATGTGGACCATTTGTATTTCCATATCAGGGTACACTTGGCACAACAACCCAATGGTTTACGGCTCTGCTGTGTGTACTGAGCTTCGGGTGGCACGTAGAGCCAAGCAGCACAGAACCAAGTCTGTTCGGCACATTGTATCTACAACAGCTCCTTGAGATGTTGCCTTCCCCCTGGCTACAAACGGTGCTTGGCACATATTTTTCATAGAGTCAAGCAGCACAGAAACAGACCCTTTGGTCCAACTTGTCCATGCTGTCCGGATATCCTAAATAAATCTAGTCCCATTTGCCAGCATTTGGCCCATGTCCCTCTAAACCCTTCCTGTTCATATACCCATCCAGGTGTCTTTTAAATGTTGTAATTATACCAGTCTCCACCACTTCCTCTGGCAGCTCATTCCATACACGCACCACCCTCTGTGTGAAAAAGTTGTCCCTTAGATCCCTTTTAAATCTTTCCCCTCTCACCTTAAACCTGTGCCCCTCTAGTTTTGGACACCCCAAACCTGGGGATAGGACCTTGCCTTTTCACCCTATCCATGCCCCTCATGATTTTATAAACCTCTATAAGGTCACCCCTCAGCCTCCGACACTCCGGGGAAAATAGCCCCAGCCTATTCAGCATCTCCCTGCAGCTCAAACACTTTACAAACATCCTTGTAAATCTTTACTGAACCCTTTCAAGTTTCACAACATCCTTCCTATGGCAGGGAGACCAAAACTGAACACAATATTCCAAAAGTGGCCTAACCAATACCCTGTACAACCACAACATGACCCTCCCAACTCCTGTTATCAATGCACTGATCAATAAAGGCAAGCGTACCAAACACCTTCTTCACCGCCCTGTCTATCTGCGACTCCAGCTTCAATGAACTATGAACCTGCACCTCAAGGTCTCTTTGTTCAGCAACACTCCCCAGGACCTTCCCATTAAATGTATATATAAGTCCTGCCTTGATTTGTCGTTCCAAAATGCAGCACGTCATATTTATCTAATCTCTCATTTCTCCCCATCTTCACCTACATCTCAAATTCCATTTTCAGAAGTGACTGTAGCATCTGTTTCCACTGCCTTTTCGAGCTGAGCATTCTCACTCGCGAGAGGATCAGTCACCAGACCACATAAACTGGAGGGTATTTGTGAAATACTCTGTGGTGGAGGCAGAAGAAGAGAAATTTTCCATACAGCCTCTCAGTATGATGTTTACTGAAAGATTTGGGGATGAGTCCCAGGGATACAGTTAAATGTTAAATTGCAGCACGCTGCTGTGCAGAGGGACCTGGGGGTCCTTGTACATGAATCAAAAAGTTGGTTTGCAGGTGCAGCAGGTAGTTGAGGAGGCAAATGGAGTATTGTCCTCCATTGCTGGTGGGATGAAGTTTATAAACAGGGAGGTTACGTTACAGCTGTTTAAGGGGCTGGTGAGGCCACACCCGGATTACTGTGTGCAGTTCTGGTCTCCTTACTTGAGAAAGGATGTACTGGCACTGGAGGGGGTGCAGAGGAGGTTCGCTAGGTTGATTCAGGAGTTGAGAGGGTTGGCTATTGAGGAGAGATTTTGAGTAGACCGGGACTATACCCATTGGAATTTAGAAGAATGAGGGGGGGATCTTATAGAAACATATAAAATGATGAAGGGAATAGATAAGATAGAAGCAGGAACGTTGTTTCCTCTGGCGGGTGAAACTAGAACGAGGGGGCATAGCCTCAAAATAAGAGGGAGCAGGTTTAGGACTGAATTGAGGAGGAACCTTTTCACCCAAAGGGTTGTGAATCTGTGGAATTCCCTGCCCAGTGAAGCAGTTGAGGCTTCCTCATTGAATGTTTTTAAGGCAGAGGTAGATTTTTGAACGGTAAGGGGATTTAAGGGTTATGGTGAGATGATGGGTAAGTGGGGCTTGAGTCCATGAAAAGATCAGCCATGATGCTATTGACTGGCGCAGCAGGCTCAAGGGGCCTACTCCTGCTCCTGGTTCGTAGGTTCTTATGGCAGGAAATCCAAGTTTGGGGATGAAACACAGGCTGATGCTCCCTAGTGTTAACAGCAATAAAACAGGATAAGGGGATAGTGATTCAATAAATGGTTAAAATACAGGCAGACGGATTTTAAAGCAGGTTAACCTTCAAGCATAAGGTTCTGTGTTTTGCAGTGACACAGGGGAGATCTGAGTATTATTTAAAATGGAGGAGATCGTTGATGGGCTAAAGTCGAGGGACTGTGAGCGCAAACCACTATCGTACAGTTGTCGGTACAAAAACTGATCGGAGCTGTGAATGGAATGTTAGCCTTTGTAACAGGAGTGATGGAAAATGTACAGTTTTATAGAGGCCCAAGTTAAATAACATCTGGAGCACTGTGTGCGGTTCTGGCAGCCACACCTTAGAAAATAATGTATTGACCTTGGAAGGAATGCAGCTCAGTTTCACAGAATGCTACCAAGGCTCCAATTAGACTACAAAAAGGTTACTTCTCGTTCGTTCTGTGGAATTTCAGCATCACTGGCTGGGACAGTGCTCATTGACTGTCCCTAATTGCTCCTCTAGACATCAGTGGTGAGCTGCCCCCTTCAACTGTTGCATCCTTAGTGTGTGGGTTGACCCACAATGTCCCTTAGGGAGGGAATTCCAGGATTCTGACCCAGCAACACTGAAGGAACGGCTGATATATTTCCCAAGTCAGGATGGTGAGTGGCTCGGAGGGGAACTTGCAGTGGGGTGGTGTTGCCATGTATCTGCTGTCCTTCTGGATGATAGAGATCACGGGTTTGGAAGGTGCTGCCTGAGGAGCTTTGGTGAATTTCTTGTAGACAGTATACACTGCTGCTACTGTGGGCAGTGGAGGGAGTTGAAGGTGGGGAACTGGGGCGTCAATTGAGTGAACTAAGTTTTCGGAAGTAAATTCAGATTTGGTTAGCTCGATTGGCTGGACAGCTGGGCGAAAACAGGAGGGTTCGCATGCTGTACTGGCTGCTATCACCACTAATGTCTTGTCTTCTTAACCTGAACCTTCATCTTGAGGCTTAAGTGACCCCATTGTGTTAAACTCACTAGCCTCCATCTCCATGTAATGAGGGAGCACCCTCTGGGAGTCTGGCTGCTTTCATTCTCTGGAATATTGATGGTTACAAAATAATTTGTTTTACAAGGTCAGCATGGAAAAGGCTGCTGAAGAGTGAGAGGAGACTTGACTTTCAATTATAGACCCTGAGGGATCTTGACCAGGTGGATGTGAAGGGAATGTTTCCTCTTGTGAAAGAATTTAGAACAAGGGGGTGGAACTGCTGATTAAAAATAAGGTGCCATTCAATTAAAACAGAGATGAGGACAAAGTTTTATGTCTCCGATGATCGCAAGAGTTTGAAGTGCTCCTCCTCCAAAGGTGGCCAAAGCACTTTGAAGGCAGTGGTAGATGGATTCTTAGTAAGTAAGAGAGGGAAAGGTTATCACAGGAGAGGGGGAATGTGCAAAAAAATCAGACCACGATCTTATAGAATGGCAGAGCAGGTTCAAGGGGCCGAGTGGCCTACTCTCGCTCCTTGTTTGTACGTTAGGAAGTGCATCCTTCACACAAAGGAAGTGGCAAACTAGCTCCCACGGTAGATGAGAAATGAGTTGCACGAGTCTGGGACCAATCGAATTTTGCTGGGCAAGGTTATTAATGGAAGGGAAGTCGAGGTGGGTGGATGGAGCTAAGGTAAAGGTCAGATCTCATGGAATGGGTTGAGGGGCCGAATGGCGTCGTTTTTTGATCCTGTGTCATCCCAGAACCTCTAGGTGCCTAAAGACCCCCTGCGAATGCCACCTATTGGTTGTATCGATCAACCATCAGCCGCTGGAGCTGGGCCAGTGCAGCCAACATCAGGCTGGACTGTGCCTTGTTCAAATGGACGCTTATCAGTGGGAAACGTCCATTTGCCTTTCCTGCTTGACAGTGGCCCATTATCGCCAAGTTTGAAGGTCCCTTCAGGGACATTGACAGCGAATAATCCACAGACATTTCATACCTTAGTCAGCCAATAGTTCTGCCGTTTCAGTGCTTCCAGATTCTCTTGCTGGGACCTCCTGCCTTTTGCTCTGGGCAGATGTTCTGGGTCAGGCTGTTCCATCTGGCAGTGAGGCAGAAACATCTGGAAAAAGCAAGGACCATTCAGGTGATGAGGAAACGACCCCTGCGGTCTTCAGTTTGCACTCGTAATTCCATGAGCGTTGCATTTTGGCAGAGAGGGTTGACCTCACCCTCACTTAATGGAGCGCGTGACCCATCGATTTAAGAATTAGGCGTGGGGCATACTAGAAGCTATCCAGTGTATTTGTTGTTCCCCCAGCCGGTGGGTTTTATCATTGGCTGGCAAGGAGAGCGATATGTGACCTTGCAGATGCCTCACAGCAAATCACACGAGAGGACCAGCACTTTTGAGTCAACTCTGCCAACGTAATTAATCAAGAACAAGCGTAAATATTTCTTTTCTCTTTTGTTGTGAAATAGGGGCAGTAGGAGGCCATTTGGCCCTTCGAGCCAGCTCCGCCATTCAAAATGGTCATGGCTGACCATCCAAGTCTGTGTCCTCTTCCCAATTCCTCCCCCACACCCTTTGATCCCTTTTGCCCCAAGAATTGTATCTAACACCTTCTCAGAGTCAGAGAGCTGTACAGTGCAGGTACAGCCGGTCCAACCTGTCCATGCTGACCCAGACATCCTAAATTAATCCAGTTCCATTTGCCAGCATTTGACCCCTGTGCCTCTAAACCCTTCCTATTCATATACCCATCCTGATGCCTTTTAAATGTTGTAATTGTACCAGCCTCCACCACTTCCTCTGGCAGCTCATTCCATACACACACCACCCTCTGTGTGAAAAAGTTACCCCTTAGGTCCCTGTTAAATCTTTTCCCCCTCTCACCTTAAACCCATACCCCTCTTAGTTTGGACTTGCCCTACCCTGGAACATTGAGATTTTTTTTCTGTAGTAGGGAATCCCACGCTCGGCAGCTGAGGGATGACCTTATAGAGGTTTATAAAATTATGAGGGACATGGATAGTCAGGGTCTTTTCCCCAGGGTGGGGGAGTCCAAAACTAGAGTGGTATAGGTTTAACAGGGAGCCGAGGGGCAATGTTTTCACACAGAGGGTGGTGCATGTATGGAATGAGCTGCCAGAGGAAATGGTGGAGGTTGGTACTAAATTTCTGAAAGGCATCTGGGTGGGTATATGAAGAGTTTAGAGGGATATGAGCCAAATGCTGGCAATTGGGACTCAATTAATTTAGGATATCTGGGTCAGCACGGACGGGTTGGACCGAAGCGTCTGTTTCCGTGCTGTACAACTCTGTGACTCTACGAGCCAGAGGGGTTGCAGCACTGATAGAGGAGGGGTTTTAAACTGAATCCTCGAAAGGATCCCACTGGATTGTCTTGGAGAAATCAGCGGAATTCCCTGCAGTGTCCTGGTCCACAATTATCCCTGCCTCCGCCAACCCCACAGTAACACATCATTGTTATTATAGCCCTTCCTTTCAGTGCGCTCTCCGCAACACAACAAGAGCCAATAGTTCACAGTTCGCTCTGGGTGTGCAAAGCTTTTAGCTTTCTTTCTTGTGAAACAGGAGTAACAGGAGCGACAGCAAGGCACTGACCCTGTCTGCACTGGAGATGAAGTCACTCAGGCACCAGTTGATGCGCTGGATCTTGTCCTGAAGGAGGGATGGACGGTTCACAAGAGACGTGGAGGCCTAAGAGAAGGAGCGAGGAGAGGCAGGAGAGATGGAAGGAAATTAATACTCAGACGATTGCTTCCACGTCTCAACTCCCAGTTCTTTTCCCGCCTCACAGTCCCTGCTGATAATGCACAGAAGGAATCTTTCCCCACGTACCGCGCCCAAAATGCCATTCATAGGGTCATACTAGACCCAGGGCCCATCAAAGTCTTGGTCTACCTACAGTTCCCGCGCCTGAACGCTATGACTAGGGCAGAGTCACCTAGACTGGAAACGTTAGCTGGCTCTCTCTGCTGTCTGACCCATTTTCATGTCTAGCAGAGATAGCAGGAACTGCAGGTGCTGGAGAATCCGAGACAACAAAGTGCAGGGGCTGGATGAAGGCAGCGGGCCAAACAGCATCATAGGAGCAGAAAGGCTGACGGATGAAGGGTCTAGGTCCGAAACGCCAGCCTTTCTGCTCCTCTGATGCTGCTTGGCCCACCTTCATGTCTAGCACCTTCATGTCTAGCACCTTTATGTCTAGCATTTGTTCCTGGCAGCGCAGACTGAAGCAGGTGCAAAACAAAAGTGTACGTTGCCACCAGGGGACGAGGGTGAGAAGTTGGCCAGAGCGCTGCTGTGGACCACATTTTTGCAAACAACAACCGGGATTTGGTCCCCACTTTTCCTCCTGGGACGGTTGCGGGACCCGGCCTCTCAGTGCAGGTACAAGGCCACGGTGCTGAGGGTCAGATGGGAGACAAGGAGGAGCTGAAAGGGGTGTCATTCCCTGCCACTTGTTGGGCCGCTTAGTCCTGACAGAATGTAGTTTCGTGAGGGTCTAGGTACAATGCACACCCCTTTTAGGGAGTTGGCCAGGGGGTGGGGAGCCCCGCTGTGGGGCCCACTGATGCTAAAGGAGTCACCAAGTCAGGACAAAGACACCCCTGAGACAGAGAAGGGGAGTTTGGCAACAGTGGTCTTGCCATCCATGCACCCCTGGTGATAGAGGTAGTCAACTTCACTTTGCCTGGCCTAGTCCCACTTCTCTTCATTGTCTTTACAATTAGAGCTGGAATCCCTACAGCGTGGAACAGGCCAATCGGCCCATTGAGTCCGCACTAACCTTCCAAAGAGCATCCCACCCAGGCACACCCCCTGTAACCCTGCATTCCCATGGCTAATCCACCAAACCTGGGCACTACGGGACAATTTAGCCTGGCCAACCCACCCGAACCTGCACATCCCTGGGCACTATGGGACAATTTAGCACGGCCAATCCACCCTAACCTGCACATCCCTGGGCACTACGGGACAATTTCCCACGGCCAATCCACCCTAACCTGCACATCCCTGGGCACTATGGGACAATTTCCCACGGCCAATCCACCCTAACCTGCACATCTTTTGACTGTGGGAGGAAACCAGAGCACCCGGAGGAAACCCACACAGACATGAGGGGCCGGCCTTAATAGTTCAATCATTGATTATGTCCAAGACAGATTTTTGGATATTAAAGCCCACCAAGGAAGTTAGGGACAGGGGCTGGGAAAATGGTGTTGAGGTAGATGTTTAGCCTTCACCTCTAATGATTGGTAGAGTACTGCCCCCCACTCCCACAGCATCCACCGCCTTGCCCACCACCCGCACCCACCCAACTGCTCCGCCTCCCGTTTCTGGGTCACCGACCGCCCGAAAACATGGACATTTCCCAGCGGTGCCTTGCTCACTTGCTCTCTGGGAGCCTCGCCGCTGTGCCTCAGTCGCTGCTGGATGCCATGGATCTCCTGGTGGTACCAGTCCCGTGCCCGCTCCACCATACCCAGGCCGTACCACAGGGCATCGCGCTGCCGCTCCAGCTCCTTCATACGCTTCAGCTGAAACACACAAGCTCGGTGAGACTCTCTCTCCTGGGTCACCGGATCACCTCTGTGAAACGCAAGCTCCCATTGGTGCATTGGAGAAGGGGGAGGGGTGGGTGGTCAGCGTAAGAGAGAGAGAGAGCAGACGTGATTTGCCCACTGTGTCCAGCCGAGGTCATGTGAACATCACTGGGATGCCCATGTATCTCCATGGCCCAGTGATGCCAATGATAACGATTGGCATCAGCAGGCAGAGCCCTGGTGGTAATGCTACAAGGCATGACAGAGACTTTACTTACCACCTCAATCCACCCCTCCCGCACAGAGATCCCATTAGGGAGGCATCCCCCCAAATTACCCAGGTTTTGAGGGCATCAGTGGGGCAGATCTACCTCTTGTGACCATGCCAGGAGCAGGTTAAACTCCCCTTTGCATTTGAAGTGGGCTGGTTGTGGGCTTGGGGTGAGATTAGCTTTGGGCAATGGTGTAAATAGGGTGAGAATTAGCCCCAACCCCTGATATGCCCTTCAGCTCATTTGGCCAACAAAGAAATCCAGTAGAATCATAGAATCCCTACAGTGTGATAGCAGGCCGTTCGGCCCATCGAGTCCTCCGAAGAGCCTCCCCCCCCAACCCCCCCCCCCACCCTATCCCCATAACCCTGCATTTCCCATGGGTAACCCACCCAGCCTGGGCACCATGGGTAATTTAGCACAGCCAATCCACCAAACCCACACATTGTAGGACTGTGGGAGGAAACTAGACCACCACAAGGAAACCCCACGCAGACATGGGGAGAACATGCAAACTCCACACAGACAGTTGCTCGAGAGTGGAATCGAACCCAGGTCCCTGGCAGTGTGACACAGCAGCGCTAACCACTGTGCCAGTGTGTTGATGAGACACTATCACCCACCTCCTTTACCCAGTGTTGAACAGTCAGGCCAAGTTCTTGCCTCTCCCTCTTATTCTTTTAGGCGTTTCATTAAACTTTGTCCCCACCCTCACCCCTATGTGGCTCCACACTAATGACTCTCCAGTCAATCAACTCAGGACAGTTTACTGCATCTGGAGACAGTTGCTGTTGTAAATATTGGCCCCCATTAGCACATTGGGTAAGGCATGAATGGCCACCTCACACAAAAGATGAATGATAGTGAAACCCCACCGTGCAAACTCTTGTAAATAATCTCAGCCGACACGGCCAGGCTGGCACCGAGGGAGTGCTGCAGTGTTGGAGGAGCCATCTTTCCGGTGAAATGTTAAAGTGGGGGCCTCATCAACCCTTCCAGAGGGAGGCAGGAAGTCCCTCGACATCATTTGAAAGAGAACATGAGCACTCTCTCTCTCTGGTTCCCTGGCTAACACTGGTTGCCAAGGGCTGCGGGTTGGACATGCGGTTATGAAGGGCACTATCAAAATGCAAAATGGGTTATGCGGGATTGGAGCCCGGAAGTAGAGATATAGATACTCCTAGGGAGGAGGCTAAAAGCTGTGAATCTAATTCAGGATGTGAGAGAGGCCTACTTCCACCAAATCCCTAAAAAGGCTTTGTAATTTACAAGTCAACCTGTAGATTTCTATTGCAGGAGGCGGGTTATAGACTGATATTTTAAACAGAAACAATGTTCAAGGTTACGGGGAAAAGGCAAGAGACTGGGACTAAGTCAGGTATGCCTTGGCTTTTAATGACCGAAATTCTGGAATTCCCTCCTGAAGCATCTTTTATACAGGAACAGGAGGAGGCCATTCAGCCCCACAATTCTGAGGCCACTCAATCCCTCAAAACTATGAAGACACGAGCAGAAGGAGGCTGTTTAGCTCATCAGGCCGGTGCTTTTTTTTATATAGAAACAGCGATCCAGATAGTCCTTGCCCAAAGCCCTGCAAATGTTTCCTCTTCAACTCCTTATTTGCTTCTCCTCAGAAAGCTTCCCCGGCCAATAACCTATTCTCAATTATCGCAGCCTGCTGCATAAAGACGTTTCTGCTCATCTGTTCTCTCGTTCCTTTTGATCTGTGTTCCATTGCCACCAACCCACCTGCCTTTAAAAAAAACAATCTCGTCTCCCTCCCTCTATCAAAACACCCCCAAATTTTGAATTCCTCTGCACATCTCTGCTCAGAATCCCAGTTTGTCCGGCCTCTCTGAGTATCTGAGGTGGCTCATCCCTGGGACTACTCCGATAGATCTACCCTGTGCCCTTTCAAAACTGATTTTAGTTTCTTCACACAGTTTAGAAAAGGGCTCCTATAATGAAGAATACTA